ATGACCCGTAGTGGTGCCATTTCAATAGTGTATCAATAGTTTTAACTTCTTGATTACGTTACGAACGGCTAGCTGTGGGGGGACTGGAATGGGGTGGTGGATGATGTCGCCCGATGGTAAGCCAATACCCTTGAGGTTAGCATTCATTTTGATCCTTATGGGCCAGATATATCGTATTCTGGAACAACAAAACGAGTCGTCCCCGTCGTATAGCCACCGTCTTATGTATCCAGGTAAACACGATATCAGTGGCGAGATCACTGGCTATAGACATCTTAAACCAAGGTTTCGACTCGAAAGAGTGAAAATCAAAGTACACTTCGGCTAAGTGACAAGCGTGGAGGCTAACCGCCCTCCACCGGCGTTCCGAGACAGCTCAATCCTTCCAAGGGAAAGCAGTGTGGCAGCATGCTCGAATAGTAACTCGGTGAGATGTAAACAATAACTATATTTACTCTCTACCTAATGCGAGTCTCATATCCTGATTATTCTACAGAAAACAAAATCCCGAGATCCAGTATTATCAGTTGAGGCTGATTCCCTGTAGCATCTCACTGATCTCTTCGTCTTCCTCGCTATATTCGAGAGAATGTGTCGAGGACTCAACACACCAGTTCAAGGGAATACGGCCAAAGCATAAATATTCATCATGTGCAAGTTTACCGTTCCATGTGACGACACCCAATGACGTTTGGAGATCAGAAACCGAGAATACCATGGCCGTTTGTTCAGGAATCTGGAATGATAGCAAAGTAAACTTTTTGTTCCGCATCCCCCACCTCCTTCTTAGAAGTCGGCGTCCCCAGTTTATGGCATGTTCCTCATCACTAAACAAGGAGATAAATGGGCTTGGTTCCCAACATGCCCAATCGAGATGCTTGTCCACCATCTCTCTCAACTCAGACTTGGTTTGAGGGATGGCTGAAGAGGTCGCGCGGAGTTCATTGGAACTCCGATCGCGGCGAGTCTGGCACCCTTCATACTGTACGCGGTACAGAGTCAGGGGATAATCCTGTGCCTGGTAGCGCCGCAGGATCTTTGTGTTGTCACCTGCTGAGTACTCTACAGTGCTTGAGATCCGTTCTGCGCGAGAAAGGGGGCTTTGCCTACGGGGGAGAGAAACAGAAGTAGTCGTATTTGGCTGCATGATTCTGAGATATATTGAGTTAGAGGAGTAATAGAGCGACCATACAACTTACCAGCAAGCAATAGCGTCAAATTACTGTTTGGTTTAAAGACTTCGGGGGGCTTTCTTGGAAGAGATGTTCGCGAGGGTTGCAGTAGGTTCTCAATAGACTGAAGAAGTTTGTTAAATTCTGATTCCTGCTGGGGCATATTTATAGGTAGAGCTAGAGTGCCGCAGGGTTCCTGACTTGGGCTAAGAGGGGGATTCAAGCGGGCGCAATATATGCAAATCAAATTTTGATTTAATTTCATGCATTGGGGGGAGACTTCCTAAGGGGTTGAAATTGGTGACCCCTGCCTTGCTTGGAGCCACCAGCGAACATGGGCTGAGAGACAACAACTGCCTAAATCGACGGCATCGCATCAATTTTCAGGATATATAGGGCATTATTCTTCATATTCGGCAGCTCAGCGCATCAATTCAAAGGCAAGCTCTCCGGTTTCTCGCCGCACCACATCGTAACGGGGACAGATTGTTCTACAAATGGGGAGCTTGTTCTACAAAGATAGGTCTAGAATATTCTCGTGTATGTGATAGACTCAGAGCCGCAAG